ACAGTATCGATATTTGGAAAAACTACTCGAATCGATAAATGATATCGGTTACTACGTACACATTTTCCAACAATCGTGACGTCATACCACCGAAGGAGGCACTTCCCAATTCAATATTCGTATTCGATGATGTGGCTTGTGATAATCAGAATACTATTAGAGAATATTTTTTTATGGGTCGACATACGAACATTGATTGTATTTATCTCTGTCAAACGTATGCAAAAATACCGTAACATTTGATACGCGATAATGCAAATTTTTTGATTCTATTCAAACAAGATGGTACTAACTTAAAATACATTTAACGATCACGTGAACACTGATATATCGTATAAGAATTTTTGCACGTTGTGTCATTTATGCTGGCAACACAAACAGTTTTGTGGTAACAGACAAAGATAGCGCATTACGTAACGGTAAATATAGACGAGGATTCAATGATTTTGCTGTAGTGTAAAAATCATACAATATTTTTTCAATGTGAGTAATAGATACGGATAGCGTATTACATAACGATAGAACTTTTTCTGTAGTATTTTGTGAAAAAAGTGAGCAGTACTTCTTTTACGTTACGATAAGATGGACAGAACGAAAAGTCTCTGAACGGGAGAAAACAGTGAAACTGATCGCGAAAACACGCGCGTCGATTCGTAAGAAGCACAGAGCATTGAAGATTGGCATAATGGAGAATGAGATTGTTCTAAAACAATTAAAACCTATTATCGAGCCGTTTAAACAAATTGGAAATACTGAACGTGGAGGTAAACCATTTGAAACTAAATTTATGGAGAATAAGCAAAAGAATAAACGTGAGTACAGCGATGATGATGACAACGACGACAACGATGATAATGATGCAATTCCAACACAAATTACTCCCCAGCGTCTTCCATGGAATACAAATAAAAAAGAAACGATCAAACGTCATGCCTGATTCGTCCATAATTCATTCCACACCAATAGAATCACAACAACAACAACAACAACCACAACAACAACAACGACGACAACA